CAGCCTGGGCCCAGCCGCATTGAGGATGAGCATTGTGCTGACCCTAATGAGGTGGAGTCTGTCCATTGTGCAGGCCCCAGTGGTGTTGAGGCTATTCATTGTGCTGGCCCCAGTGGCCTGCAGGATCTAGCAAGGCCAGGACCCAGCAGCAATCTCCACACAGCCCCCCAACCCAGCCCAAGCATTCTCCAAGCAATCCCACAGCCAAGTCCTTCAGGGGATGGGATGGTATCTCAGACCAATGGATGTCGATCTCCAAACAGTGACACAGACAGTGAGAGTGATTCACCAGAGAACTTACCTCCATTTAGCTCTAGCCCAGGACCCTCGGGCATCGGCAGCCAGTTAGTCCGGCTGAGTGATGGAGAGGCAGAAGCACTTGTAGGGAATGTATCGGGGTGTGAGGCTAGCAGCAGCATCAGGGGACAGGCATCCCCTCTAGGCTCCCCAAGAACACCTGCTGATAACTGCATTGTCTCATCATCTACTGGTCACATAGACTCTATACCTCCAACTCCAGCAGAATTTCAAGGGAATGATGTCTCTGGGCCAAGCAGTCCTGTTTCCCCAAGTTTAGCCAGTGTAGCCATTCTGGATTCTACAGTTGATTCCACAAGTGGAAGAGGAATAATGGACCCTCAGGGTGACTCATCAGATGATGATTCTGATGACAATCTGGCACCATCTGACCAGATGCAATTGCCAGTCATGGCAGATGAAGGAGCAGAAATATCCACATCAGAAATTGGTTTGCAGCATAGTGATGACAGTCAAGATGTTGGCATGCTTGTCAGCCCGCAAGGCATGTTCACCAGTGGCCGAGCAAGTGCTAATAGATTTATTGAGCAGTTCTCTCTCTCTTTGTCGCACTTTTCTACCAACTCTCTTGATGCTAGCTTATCTGGAGATGTCAGTGACCAAAGGACACCCCAAAACACACCTCCACCTCCCCCAGATCCTGGGCCTTACCTGGATGACCCACTAGCAATCCCTGGCCCCAGCAGGCTCTCACTGCCATGCCCAGAGCAGCCAGTGAGCAGTCAGGCCCAAGCAGTCGCAGCAGTAAGCCAGGGGAATGATTTCCCCTCAACATCCAGTACACAAATGTTAGCACACCCAGTTGAGGTTCTAGACAGTAGTCTACCACTTCTGCATATCTCCTCAGAGTTGCCAGTTTGCAGTTCAGCACCAGATAATAACCAGTTACAAGAAGCAGGAAGATCTGATGGTCTAGAGCCCCTTGTCACCATAGCTAGCAGTGCATCAAATAGTTTGAACAGTGACGACTTGGCAGGCAGCTCAGGCAACCAGGCCCTTAGTCAGCTGAACCAGTCTTATGTTCTGGAGCTGAATGAGGATAGTTCCCTGAACAGTGATGATGCCCTAAGCTCAGGGTCCCTTGTGGGAAAGGATGACCTACAGAATCAAGGGGTAAATCAAGCTGATTTCAGTAACTTAGACAGCTCTCACCACTCACTAGTCGACCCATCACGTATTAGTGCTAGTTCGCTCAGTACATCCCTCAGTCTGACCCTGGCCTCCTCAGAGTTGAATGGGGTCATAGATGCAGCCATGCCTGGCCCCTCCCAGCAGCCCTCTCTTTCTCAACACATTCTTCCTTCACAGCCCGATCAGGTAAGTAAATGTGTCAAGAATTTTTGCGAGTTAAGAATTTCACAATGCAAGAAACCTAAAAAAAAAAAAAAAAATCTATACTATTTTGAGCTTTGAAAGTGGAATGAAGTATCTTTGTGTATGTACATATTGTGATAAAGTTTGTATGTACATTAGTGTGCTGTATTTTGCTGCTGGACATTTCTCCAGTTTACGGTTAGACACAAATTGCTGGGATATGGACTTATAACATGATTATGTATCACCCAGTGTCCTGGGATATTTTGCCATAATGCGACCAGACATCACCTGTTGCCATTAGGTTAGAAAAAGCTCCTCATACTTATAATTCCTACACCGATTATGATATTCTATTCTACAGGTGTCTCTCCTAGTTGGTAGTGGTGATGACAGTAATGATGGAGCCTTATTAATGATGCTGTCCTCCAATTCCCACTCTCTCCATGATCCTTTAGTCCTAGGTAAGAGAAACAGTTGATATTAGACTTTAAAATAGAATTCATGATCGCTTGTGGTGAGTAAATCAACATGCTAATATATGCTGTACCAATTATCATTTCAGATACAGTAAGCAGTACTAGCTTTGTTTCATATCATCTACTTAATCCAAGAATTTATCAGCTCGGTTGAACCTCCAATTATTTATTTGGTATATAATATATATTAATTATATATATTATATTTTCCTGTTTATAGGAAAGCAGTTACAGAGGGAAGCTAGTAACCTTGTATCTCAACTCAGGCCAGAATCTCAGGTATGAAATTGCTTACCATAAACATGGCAGTACCTTGTGATTCAGTGGTATTAATTGAAAGGACAGCCTGACCAAGAATAGCAGTTAAAGATTTCCACATATCAGCTTGTTAACACTTCCTTTTTTTTCCTTAGGCTCTCCAACCATGTAGTAGTGACAGTGCTGCTAATGACTCTCTACAAGATGCTAGTGGACAAAGACAGAATGAAGTCAATTCTTCTGTCAGTGATTCAGGTGTCCCAGGCTTTATTGGACCGGATATTTGTAAGTATTGTGTGTCCAAAAGGGTGGTGTGGCATGGGACATACTTTAATTTTTCAGATTTTCATTGAATTTTAAGTTTTTATTTTTGATAATGGATAATTGGTTTTAGAATAACTGTATACTTTTGGATATTTTAATTCTTTGGTGATTACTACTCTTTAGGTTAATACTTTTAATGATAATGACCAAAATTGCAGTTGGTTGTAATAGCAGTAGTGATAACATGAATGACAATATCACCGATGTCATTTTGATTTCATATACCAGGGTGTGGAGATTGTGAACAGGCGTATTCCCATGAGTGCCCACAACATCGAATACAAGCAATCTCAGACAAACCAGTTAGGACAAGAGCCTGGGCTTCTCTTCCTGCGCAACATCTCATCATTCGTAAAATTGCAGACACAGAAGGTATACTTTTATTTTTTTGTAGGAAGAAGACTTGATGAAAATCATTTTTGGTCAGTTCAACGTTTTCAATGAAAAAATTAAAGTTCCATAGAGGCTTGGCATGCTAAAGCTCAGGGCATAAAATCTAGGCTGTCTGTGGCATACTTCACCTTCATGTTTTTGTGTGGGTGGTATAGTCTAAATCTGGTATGTATGTGAATATATATGTATGTATGTATGTATTTATGTATATGTAGAATTAGAAATTAAGACTTCCATGTAAATTGGAAGGAGGTTGTCCTTTATTGACAGAACTGAAAAGAATATGCTGTTGACTCATAGGGGTAGTATGTATAGATCTAGAGGAATATTTTTCTCATTTCTTTTTTGTTCTTAGTTTAGCATTCCATCTTCATTCCTTATCCTCATTTTTCCCCTTCAGAATATGGTGTGTTTGTACGCAAGGCCATTCCAAAGCGCACACAATTCGGCCCCATAGAAGGTGTCTTGAAGGAAGACTCAGATGGGTCAGTGTCTCCACACGGCCTTATCTACACCATAAAGCAGGGTGATCAGACGCTGCACCTTGACACTTCCGATGAAGGCAAGTGTCTGTCTCCAAAGCTTCCCTCATTTGTTTGTTTGATTTTAATGCTGATTTGAATGTCCGTGAGTTTGAATAAAAAGATTACAGAAGTTGTAATGAGGATCTGAATATTCAGAATTATAGTTTAATAGCCATCCTCAACTTCACAGCCACCTCCAACTGGATGCGATTCGTGCGTCAGGCCACCACATACCTTGAGCAGAATTGTGTAGTCATGCAAGTGGATGAGAACCTTGTCTTCCTCACTACCACAGACATTGCCCCACGCACAGAACTCAGAGTTGGGTAAGAGCTTGAGTATTGCCACAACAGGAGGACACTTGAGTTGATTGGGATGTTCCTTTAAGATAACAAAAAATGATTGACATTTGTTCATTGTAATTAATCATGTATTTTGTAACTGAATATGAATTAATCTTTTATACTTATATTCCTTCTTTTTAGTGAATGATAAAAAAGTGTCTTTTAGTAGGAATTGAGAAATAAATGTTATGTATATGATAGTAGCTCTATCTAATTTCTTCCAGGTACTCAAAGCAATATGGTGACAAAAGAGGCCTTCACATCCTGCAGCCAACAGCAGAGGAGATTAAGAGTAAGGAAGATTTATTTTAAGTTTTGATATAACTACAATGACCTAACCAGTGGTGCCGCACAAGACAGCTGACTATTTCCAACATTGTATTTATTTGTTAGTGTAGATCGGTTCAACTTTAGGTATTCTTAGTTCAGATCACATGTAGCAGAAGCTTAGTTCTCCTATTTTAGTTAAATAGCTAGATCAAGTAACCAGTATTCATGTTCCTCTTTGATTTCAGTCCTTGAGTCACTGAGGAAGTCCTGGCCGTGCTATGAATGTGATGAGGCCTTTGAGTCATCAGCAGAACTACAGCAGCATCTGGTCTGTCATGATGAGGTTAGTGATTTTCTAAAGGTGACAATTGTGGAAAGTGTAATAGATCTTCTTCTTCTTCTTCTTCTTCTTCTTCTTCTTCTATGATATTGATACTTTTGTTGTCTTATATTTCATATTAGTGATTTTTATTTATTATTGTTGTCCACATTTATATATTTATGAAAATTGTATTTTTCTTTTTTACTAAACCTGACAATATGTACTATCTGTCTGATACTATCTGTCTCCTTGATATCTGAGCAGGAGGTTGGTGAAGAGGAGAAGAAGAAGCGAAAGAGAATAAAGACAAGGCGACCCAGGAACAATGGAGAGGTGGAGACTGGTGTGAAGAGGCTTGCCAAGAAAGTGAAGGTGAGATCCCTGAAGACTGTCTTGTTTTAGCTTCCAAGTTGAAAATAAGGGATTTTTTCAATGAGCTTAATTTTTTGTATGTTCTAGGTGTCTCAAGTGTCTTCATTTTTCCTCTGTTGCCAATTAATTTTTTACATCTTTTGTCTGACAGAGAGCATGATAGCAATTTTTTATCTTTCCAGTGTCTTCATTTTTCCTCTGTTGCCAATTAATTTTTTACATCTTTTGTCTGACTAGGTTTCAGGTGAAGAGACATCAGGAGCTGGGACTTCTTCACAAGCAGATGTCAACAGGTAAGTTCCCTCTGAATTTTATCATATGTGAATATTGAGTTTGATATTTGATTATTATTTATTTATTTATTTATTATTATTTTTTTTTTCTTTTTTTTTTCTTTTTTTTTAAGGAGTTTGCTTTAATTGGCAGTTGTGTGGGAGGTTTTATAAAGATGTTTATTCTTGCTTTAGTTTATGATTAAACATACTTGTCATTATTTGCTTTTAACTTTTGTGTTTTTGATAGAGAATGGAAAAGCTAGGGAAAGTCTGTGATTATTGATGGATTATATATATTTTCAGCAGACTTGCTATGCCTGCTGTAGAAGGTATACAGCACAGCCAGTGTACCACCTGCAATTTGGTATTCACTATGCCAGAGGTAAGATCAGCTGAGGTCATGACATCGTTATAATCTTTTCAGAAATAGTAAAATAAACTGGGAGTTGTGATTTGTTAGTTGTTGGGAATGAGAACAAGGAATCGTTTTTCTTTCTGGGTACTAATTATTGATTTTTTTTTCTCGTCTTCCTCTTGCAATGCAGCTGCTGAAAATCCACCAACACACACATGAAGGAGCACAGGTGCAGGAGGGTAATGATGCCTTGGTGAAAATGAAGCTGAAGGAGAAGGCATGTCCTCAGTGCTTCAAGGTTTGTAATAACAAGGTTCTTCTAAGGCTCAAATGACTTAATGTTTTGTCTATAATCCCAGAGGAAATTATACTCTTGTGTTTATATGATTTGTTTTATTTGTCATTGTTTAATGGATGTGTTGTATTATGTTTATTTTTTACGGAATTATTGTTGCAAAGGCCCATATCATTGTCTTATTGGTCCTGATTTTTAACGATATTGATGAAAGCTTAGCATAATCTGTGGGGTCATATTACTTTTCTTCTTCTTTTTTATTCTTTTCATTTTTTTTTCCAACTTTCAGTTTTTTGAGGCAGCAGAGGAGCTGTTAGCACACATAGGAGGACATGGATTCTTCCTTCCTCTTCAAGCCAAGCCTCATAAGTGTGACTTCTGCTATAAGGTTGGAATTAGTTTCTCTTTTTCCATGACTGCTCATTACAGTGAATGCTAATTTTACATTGACTATTTATTTAAATCATGGTGAAATGCATTATCGTCTCAAGGGCAGCAAAACTAGTGCTATTTAGTCATTACAGGTACATTGTAGACAGTGCTAAAACTAAAATGGCACTTCAGATTCTGATATCCGACTGCCCTGGATTTATTTATTTATTGTGAATTGTGCTAGTCACAGCACAACAATGTTAGCACCATCGCAGTCACAACCATGTCACAAAACCCTTTACCTGCTCAATAGTTTTGAATCAAGGAGCAAGCAGTCACTGCCACAATCACAGTATATCAATAAGTATTTTACTATCTTGAAGTCAGATGATAATACATTTTTGCATGGCATACATGGGCTACTTTTTTTAAGACCATACATATTTTTATTTAATGTACAAAACACTATAGCAAGTATACATGGATTTCACACAAATGCAGGATGTTTTAAAAAATAATCTCTTTATGAAATTGTAATTTATTGCACAGTAATCTCTGACTCTAGAAGCGATTATTTCTTTACAAAAAGAAGTATTGTTTCAATAGAATTACCCCCCCCCCAAAAGGAAAAAAAAAAAAAAAAAATCCTAGTTATGGAATAAACAAGTATTGTATATCTATTAGATTTTGAAATCTATTTTAATGTTTCAAATTGCTCACCATAAAGAATGTATGAATTCTGTTATAAGATATTAGCATTCTAATGATAATCTAAACATTCTGATATTGTTTTACAAAGAATCCGTCATCAGACTAGAGTTTTGATTCCAGTCATTCTTGCGTCGTGAGCGGCTGGAGGCGCACATGGCTGTCCATGGCAATGAGACGGAGAAGCCCTTCCGATGTAGCCTCTGCCTCAGACGCTTCTGTAGCAATACAGCTCTTAACACACACATCAAGTTTCATATTGGTGAGTTGTGCATCATGCTGAGGTATTTAGCTGCTATGTAAAGTTTTGGAGCTGGTAAGACATGAGTATGTGTAATGTGCAAAGATATTTCAAATGCACTTTACTCAGTTTTGGTAAATTTCTATTTTCTGTCTTTGATTTAGAGAGGTTCTTTTCATTTCATAATAATGTGATTGCAGTTTCGGAAATATTGTATCCAAGTTGATCAGCTGTGGAAAGTGATTTTTAAGATCAAATGTTTTTACAGTAATTTAAACATACATTTAAAAAAAGATCAGCAAGACAGGAAATGTCAATATTCATCTAGCTTTTGGCACTACCGAGACTGACACAGAACAAACAATAATCTGATCACAGTAGAGCCTTCATATGGGTTCAGAGAGAGTAGAGGGCAAAGAGCACAGTAGATAAGCGCTCACTTGCCTGCTCAGTACTTGGCGCACACGCGTTTGCACTTAGAGCGTGAGGAAAAGATGAGCACTAATGTCCTGACTTCACAGAGGGCAGTAAAGGCTATGACTGCCCGATTTGCAGGGAGGGATTCTTCTCCGTAGCCGGGCTGAAGTCCCATGTATCCTCGCACTGTGTCAATGGGGAATACGCTTGTCCGACTTGTAAAAAGGTAAGTGTTTTATTTGAGGTACGGATGGGTTTGTGGGTGTGAGTAACATTTTTGTTTTATTTATTATTTACTTGTGTGTGTGTGTTTGTGTGTATTTGTATTTAGTTTACAGTTGTATATTTGTGTTTGTCTATGTAAAGTTTAATAGTTAGGATGTGTATGCTTCATATAGTGAAAAATACGTTACCAGATTGCATTATTAAAAAAAAAAAAAAAAAATGAGGGCAAATGGATGTGGTTTTTACAAATAGATCAAGCTGGTTTGAATGCATTCAAGCATTTGGCTGTGCAAATTACACTCCATTATTATGAAAACAAACCAAGATGTGGTAACTAACTCTTTACAGTCAGTGCCAAAAGTAATGGCATGAAAATTGGCACCTCATTACTTTTGATGAATTATCAAGAATCTCCTCTATATGCTTATTCATAAAGCCAGTTGTACTGGAGTGGTTGATGTTAGTTGAGGGGTTGGAACTTTGTTGCCCAAGTGTACTTATCTCCCGTCCAGTGTCCCTTAGGCAGTTGTAATTACATTTTTTTACATTCCCTACCATCCCTTAGTCTGCATAAAGACAGTGCCTAAAGACCAAAGTTCTTCAAAGAAGAAAATCGCAGCTATTGCATCCCTGATTCCTTTAGGGAAAAGTAATCAGGGATCACTCTACCCAGAGTTGCGCTCCAAACAGTCAAGTGCTGGACTAAGATCACAGAGACTGGAGGTGTGAATCCTTCCCATTACAAAATTTGCTCTGGAAGACCCGGTAAAATTACTAACAAGACTCAAACTCATCTTGCATCAAGTAAAGGCTGAATCCACTGTGCCACTGGGAAAAAAAACACACACACACACACACACACACACACACACACACACACACACACACACACACACACACACACACACACACACACACACACACACACACACACACACACACACACACACACACACACAACACACACACACACACACACACACACACACACACACACACACACACACACACACACACACACACACACACACACACACACACACACACACACACACACACACACACACACACACACACATACACACACACACACACACACACACACACACACACAACACACACACACACACACACACACACACACACACACACACACACACACACACACACACATAGCTGCTCAGGGACGTGAGTGTTAGTGCAATCCAATGCAGCCTCAGGGACGACTCCTCTTATGGGCATAGCCAAAATCATTGCTCACTAAGAAACAAAGACAGAAAAGGGTTATATTTTGTAAGAAAAATTTATTCGGGACCTGAACAGAAGGGAGAATGTGTTTTATATTAACCCAATGCTGTGTTCACTTTAGTATTGTTTTGTTAAATGTTTCTGTACATAGATGGCTCTGCCAGTGTTTAGCCACAAAGAAGACAATTAGTAAATCTTGTGACCTTATCTTCCCTTGAAATAGTGGGAGGAAGCTTTTTTACAAATACTATCAATTTTGACACTGTTATTTTTGCTATAAACATTACAATTACTATATTGTTATTGACATTACTAGCAGCAGTATTAACCCACTAGTGACGGTATATTTTGAAGCGGAAAATAATAGTTTCCAGGCAGCTTCAAAATCGGCGCATGGGGCCGGCCCAGTATCTGATGCCAAAGCCATCAGATTTGAGAGAAAAAATATATTTTAATTTCTGCCGGGTGCAGCTTCTATAGAAAAAGTTCAATTTCATTTCATATAACTGAGCTTTCATTTAAAGGTTATTGTTGCCTTGTCGAAGTAACATTTCAGTGTTTCCAGTTTTATCAGCATTATTAATATACATGGCCAGCAGCGGTACACCGGTGGGACGCCTGGCAATGTTTATTTTTCCCGATGTCTCATATGTGGGACACCCATCGTAAATGGCTTGAATACGAGATATTGTTATCACAAATCAAGGAAAAGGGTAAACTGTTGTAAATGGCTCATTGGTGACTTAGTCCTAGAGGAGCCATCTACATGTAAAAACAATTACTAAATTAAACATTTAGTGGGCATGGCATATACATACATGCCATCCCCGGCAACATTTGGTTAATAAAGGCCTGTATTGAGTGGGTTGGTTTTGACAACATAAAAGAGTTCCCAAATCTGAACCACATCAAGAAAATCTCATGAAAATCTCCCCTGAGGCTTATGAAGAAGCACCTCAGGGGAGGGATATCTCAACCATGCCTAAGCTCATTGGGCATCTCCCCAACATTAGGGGAAATCTAAATCCACCAGTGCCGGTACATTTTCAAGCCGAAAATAATAGTTTCCGGGCAGCTTCAAAATTGGCATGCAGGCCAGTCTGGGAACCAGCCCGCTTGCCACCCGTTACAGGCGACAGAATTGGAGCACAAGCTCCGGTCTAGCATCACACCAGTGGGACGCCCGAGATTTTTTTTTTTCTAGGCTTCTCACATGTGAGACACCTAGCGCAAGTGGGTTAAGCCCAGTCTCCTTCAGTGGCTAGTGGAAGATGTCTCAAGACACATGGCAGGCTATGTGAAGCATATGGGATTTGCTACCAAGTACTACAACCAGTTGGTATTCCCTCCATATTACTTTTTATGTTGTGGGAATGTGCATTGCAAGGTGGTGCTATTACTTGTGGTGCTGACTGTACTCACCCATTCCTTTTATACTTATTCCTATCTTTGAATGTTTTGATTTTTTAATAAAAAAAAGATGTTAACAATGATAGTAATGTTTCTATAAATTTTGCTCATACAAGCAGATGCATTCTAGTTAGTTTTAGAGCAACAAAACAGTGCCCAGTGATTATAAAAATCTGATAATGTTTTTGAGATATATCTATGCCCCCATAACCACATAAATCATATAAACCATTAACCTCAGTCCGTTCATTTATTGTATTTTCCTTTCTGGCAGGTTTTCCCCACGTATAGTAAGATTCGCCGGCACATTCGTTCATACCACGCCATCATGCCTCACACATGTTCCATATGCAGCAAGGAGATGCCATCTGTGGACAAACTCAAGATTCATATGCTTAGGTAGGCTGGGCTCTCCTATCTCTTCATCCCCTTCTTCCTTCTCTTCCATCTCTTCCTCTTCCTCCTGTACCCTTTCCTTCACCCACTCCTGCTCCATTTCTGTTGATGTGTCTCAGCATCATGATATAGAAGTATATTACTGACTGTTAGGGTTTCTTCATTTTTATAGATTTGTTATTCTCTCTCATTCTTGCAGTCATTCAGAGCGTCGTGACTTCCTGTGTCCAGACTGTGGCAAGAGGTTCAAGCGGAAGGATAAGCTCCGCGAGCACTCTAAGCGCATGCACTCAAATGACCGTGAGGCTAAGACTTCTAAAGCAGTCGCCAAAGGGCCCCCCAAGTTTGTCCCAAAGGTATTGTGTGAGAGGTAGAGAGAAAGGGTGAACGATATCAAGGACATGCATCTGTGGGAGTCTCTTACATGTCCTTTTTCCTTTATGTCTCTTATCCTTTTTTTGTCAGGTCGTAGGATAAAAAAAGGGATGTGAAAAGGGATACATCACCTAAGATAAGAAAAGAGGATAAGTGGTAATGAGACAGAGAACAGTAATTGAATGAATAATGAGATTAGTTCACAAACTGATATGAATCAACATTATTTTAAAGAGGATGCTTTGCCAAAGTCATCAGATTTGAGAGAAAATGTATATTTGTATTGTATTTTTGCCAGGTGCAGCTTCTATAGAAAAAGTTAAATTTCATTTCGTATAACTGAGCTTTCATGTAAAGATTGCTGTTGTCGTGTGGAAGTAACATTTCAGAGTGTTTCCAGTTTTATCAGCATTATTAATATACACATTTGATGAGAAAGTAGTTCATTGGCTATGATATATTATGCTCTTTTTTTCCATCTTTATTTTGATTTTACCTATATGTTTCTTTGTTTGCCTCTGTCTCTAGACTACAGAAAGTGATTTGATGTTAGTTTTTGTTTCATCAGGTCTCCTTCAGAACAGCTTTAATAACCTTTTTTTTATGCCTGGGATGCTCTAATTTGGGGTTTATATAGTACTTCTTCAAGACTAATGCTGGAAATTCCAACATGAGGCCTCTACTGTTACTTCCATAAACTTTTAACATATATAATTTTAGTAGGTCTGCAAACCTGCTATCATAGTGCAATACAATGGCAGTTAATTTAATCTTATCTATATGAAGTGTCTAAGAAGAAGAATTGCTTCTCCTTTTCCTGCCATAGGTTGATCCTGCTGATTACAAACAGTTTTTGTACAAGTGCCACACCTGCCTCTTGGGGTTCAAGCGGCGTGGCATGCTTGTTAACCACCTGGCCAAGCGTCACCCAAACATTGACCCGTCAACAGTACCTGAGCTGAACCAACCCATCCTCAAGGCAAAGCGATGTTACAGCTGCCAGCATTGTGATAAGGTAATTTAGGATTGGATTGTAGGAGGATATCTGAGGTGGATTATACGCTATATTGTAATTTCAGAGTGGTTTATTTTTTGGGTGTTATGAGTTATAGATGGGTTTCTACTACTTTTTCAGATGTACCGCAGCAGTAGCAAGAGGAAATTACACATCCTGAAGTATCACCCTGGAGCAGAGCTTCCACCACCTTCCACTAATCACAATGAGAATGAGAATGGTGAGGTCCCTGCATACTCCAAGACAAACCCTCATCCATGCTTATGGTGCTACCGCCAGTATACAACTCGGGCCCGGCTCCTGCGGCACCAGCGGCACCATCACCCTGACCTCTGCAATCACAAGTCACAGATGAAGGAGTACTCTGCTGAAGCACCAGAAGCAGCAGTGGAGGAAGATGAGGCTCAGATGGAGGCTCCAGCAGGCTTGTCAGGGGAACTGACCCTTGGAGGCCAGCTTGTCACAGATGCAAGCATCTTGAGGAACCATCGATTAGTAAGCTTGACCAGAGGAGAGTCTGAGGAAGCTGGTGTGGAGGTGAAAGAGGATGACCTTCTGACCCAAGCTATGGGGGAGATCACTCCCCTCAGCGGCGGTGAGCAATATGTGCGCATAGTTGGCACTGGAGCAGAAGGGCAGCAAGTAGTTGTGGGAACAGCGCAAGGTGGACGTCCTTTGCTGGTGAGTAGCGATGGAGGGCAGCAGGGTGCCACCCTGGCTCTGGTCACCACAGATGGTCCAGAGACAGTGACACTCTCTCTTCCTGCCGGGCAGTTTATCTCTCTTATTCCTGGGTTGCCTGTTGCGGGCACTGCCTCTACAGTGACCTCAACCTCCCGAACTGTAACCAGTGGTAGCAGTTCAGTCAACATACACACTGTTGAGGGACAAGATGGGGCAGGCACCAGTGGAGACCTGCAGGGGGAAGGTGTCCCAGCTGCTATCAGGATGGCCCAGGGCTTTGGGCAAGCAATAAGTGGGAGTGAAGCTGAGGGTGTTGAACAGGTGGTGCTGGAGACCCACCCGCCCTCATCCCCCTCGACATCTGTTGTCTGGCCACAGGCTCTGACCTTTGCCAGCACCCCAAACTAACATCTCATCTCTATTAAGAGGATGTTGCATACTAGCTGTTACATAGATTGGTCAGGGGTTATCAATACTAGAAAGGATTTAGTCAGCTTGATCAGAGGTATTCAGCAATGTCATGCAATTACCTGTGTATTCCTCTAGATAGCTGGGGTCATTGACCTGGTTGTTGGTAGGGTTTTGGCAATGCTTTTGAGATCGATTTAGGCTTAAGGAAATCAAAGGAGTATGGGATGTTTCATAATAGCTGAAAAGGTAAATATGGTAACAGTATTATTTATTGACTTCTTAGCACTTATATTTGAACAGATTTCAAAGCTTCCACAAGAACCAATATATATTCATTTTTAAGGCTTGTATATAACAGACCAATCTCTGTTATTGCTTTTATTTAACTACGTCTCATTCTTGATATTATGTAATGTATTTGAATTTCCAAACTGGAAAGTATTTGTGATATGTTGTCATGTCCATGCAAGTTACAAACTGCATATCAAGGTAAGTATCAAAAGTGCATCAGAAATCAGATGTTCTACAAGAATTGCCAGGCATATTATCCAAGACCTTAGGCTTAATTACAAAGTTGTTCATGACATTGTTAATATATTTTATATGCGATTTTTTTTTTTAAATGAAATGTTGCTGTGCCTCTGCTGATGTGAGAGAGTAAGTTGTTATTGTTTGTGGGAGAATCTCCTATCCAGATGATAATTTCTGTAACTGTTTGTATATACTACTGTGTGTATATATATACAGTATGTGTATATATATATACAATATGTGATGACCATGCACAAATAGTACATTCAAGTACTAATGTAAATTATTTATTTCAGTTCTTGTTTAGGACACCGCCTTTTATTTTGTAGCCAAAAGAAAATGTATCATGTTGGAAGGAAAGTGAATTTATAATAATATGACCAGAACCCCCCCACCCCCCCCCTTTACTTTTTCTTCATATTTAGTCCTGGTCACAAGTGTCAGTTACACACATTGTGTATAAAGTGAATTATCAGTATTTTAAGAAGCTGCTGCAGGAAACCTTGGCATGTATCCTTTTACGTAATCTCATATTGGTGATAAATCAGTGGAACCAACCAACAATAAAATTATATTACCTACACAACAATAGCTGTTTGCTAAATGGTTTAAGAAAGTTATCACACTACCAATATTCTGCCTGGGGTTCTCAGGATTGCCTTATTAGGCTGCCGTTCCTCTTTGCTTACTTTTTAGGAATTTAGCTCTTGAGGTTGTGAAGGGTGGATAAAAAACATCCTATTTGTTTTTCACTTCTCTTGTGTTCATTTTCTTGAATACGTTCAATATGTTGGTACATTCAACTGTCAGTATAATTTGGAGTATGCTTAAGGATTTAGCCTGAATATAAGTGTACTTTTATTTTTTTAATGGTGAATTTTGCTTGGGTTACAGGCCCATATTATTGAGTGTTATATATTATTAATGAACTATATTCAAATGATGTACTTCATATATCTTACAGTATAATTTATGATGACGTATTATTTATATTATCAGTATGTTTTGTTATCCGTATACAAATGCCCTCAAACTATTGGTGGAATTGTAATACTTAGAGGGAAAGGAATGACTTCTGTATCATGTGTTTTGTAGTGGTTCACATTAACAACTGCAAGCTTTTTATATAGGTGGGATAAACTTTGAACCCATATTATATTTTGCTCAAATTGCAGCACAAAGGGAGTCGGTAGGTAGGATAGGAACACAAGGGAGTTGGGTTTTAGATTTCTAAAATAATGTCAGATATGCTTCAAGCCTCAGACAGGGTCCTGGCCTCATACAGTCACTCTGAATAATTACAGTGAAGGCAGTCACACAACTCATCTATATAGTTAGTTAATTCTGTGCCTTGGCTGGAATGAAAAAATAGCTCTTTAGAAAAAAATTGAACGTTTATCAAATGAATTATATTATGCCTTGTAAAGAGAAATTCAGGCCTAAGATGGGTGCCCTTTCAAGACTTTGATTATGGCATTGTCGCCCTTTAGTGATTGGATGCCAAACAATAGCTTAAGGATTCAAACAGTCCACTGTGTCATCCTCAGACTTTCATTATCTTTGCCTCTTGGCATCCCTTAGTTTCATATGTCCATATTCTGTAGGTGCCACGGTTTTCTTTTAAGTATTTTCCATCTTGGTGCTCTAGATATGATTCCTCATAGTGTTGGAAGTAGTTCTTGGGTGTCTTATGTCCCTACCTTCTGCCTGTCATCAGTTGTTTTGAGTACAGTACATCTCAAAGGACACAACATTCCTCTTTTTATAATGAGACGTTTAAGTTTGCAATGTTGCAAACAATAGCATAAACATAGATAAAAAACTGAGCTAGTCAGCAAAAGAGGTCATTCAAGATGTTCCCTGATTTTTGAAACAATGATGAAGACCCAGAATATGGACTTTGTTTTATTATTGTTATTTGTATTTTTCATTATTATTATTTTATTTTTCTCTGTTACTTGTTTAGTATCTTCAATCATTTCCTTATTCTGCAACAAATTAAATCATGGGAAATGGATCTGTAATAACAAATGCAAATTCAAACTGTACCATGATTATTGTTTGTCAAATACTGTATGAGACTTCATTTTTTTTCTTTTCTTCTCTTTTTTTTTAGATTAATATAGCAGAGTAGGATATTATATTTTCATGTTCCTTGCAATATAGATTACAAGCTTTTGTATAAAAAGGATAGAATACAGGAATGAGGCAGTTGACTCTGCTTAGGCTGATGAATTCTGTGATGCTGTAGTCTAATCCTGGAGTCATTCTGTTGGTGATATGCCAGGGATATAATGCTGAGGTTATAGAGTTTCTTGTCTGTTAGTAAAGTTTGTTGGGAAATATCTGACCAATTATTGAAGTGTAGTACAGGGAATTATTAATTTTAGTTATTTATGAGCACATTTTCACTTTTTGAGGAGATGGTAAGGTCTTAGATGCTCAAAGTGGACCAGAATCCAATTATGAATTGAAGAAATGGAGGATTTACACTTGGTTTTGGGATATCTAAATGCATTAAGTTCAGGCATGCAACAATATGTTGTTATTGTTTTGTATAGGATCTGTTCTCTAATCCATTTAAGAATCTAAGAAAAGTTTATGTATTGGTAAGGGTAATAAGATATATTTAGCACAAATATATTTGCATACTTATGCACAGCTTAACATGCATTGAATGGGAAAACATGAGATACACTACTTATAAACAAATAAATGTGCATACATATGCACTCACACTAACACTTTGAACACAATTGTAATTGTTAATAATACACTACACCAAAAGAGTAAGCAATAAAGATACAGATGATTATTTCCCTCTCAGCATGTGCAGAGAGAATATATACCGAGTACTGCTTGTTATTATTGTTTTTTTTATTATTATCATTATTACTGTTATTTTCTTTTTTCTCTTTTTGATTGACCCTAGTTTAATCTTAATTGTGACAGGGCATGAATTTTGGTGATGTAATATTACAATTGACATTGTCAAAGTGGGTAGGCCTAAGCTTTGTACAGCTGGCCCACCCATTACGTGTCATGACTTATATATATGTCATTAGGTCATGATGGCAATAGCCGGACCCATCACTGAAGGGTTAAGAATTAGTCGTAAAAATTGAATCTTCAGGTTGCTGACTTGCTAAACCTTTCAGAAGTAGCTTCAAAGCCTGAGTTGTCTGAACCTAAAGTGCTCTTGAACTTTGCAGATCTCAAATTATATATATATATAAATATTACAGGATGTCAGTTACTTGTGTAAGAGAAGGTTAAATGCAATTTATTTTCTTCTTTTTTTAGCATCAGCCTTTTCATAGGTAGTAATCTAATAAGAGGATAGAAAAGTTTCCGTTAATATTGCATTTTGAAAGGAAAATATAATATTTAATGCTTACGAAAGGCTTAGGTGAAACCATAGTAGAAATTGAATTTATCAAATGAAACAGTAAGTGAAATTTTGTTCAAGAAAAACTACAAAGCCATATTTTTTATGAGTAAAATAAACTGCAGGTCCTAACTTTGTAACTCAGTTGTGTTTTCCATTGCCAGAGTAATACAATTAAAATTTACAAATTTGTTTTGTATGCAATTAAAAGCTGTAAAAGCTTTTTCCACAGTAAT